TCAATGTATATCACTTTTGCACTATCATAAAGTCAAAAAATTATAAGTCGAGCCATCATAAGTCAGGGACTGTTTGTACTAGTGTTTTCCAGGATTCTGCCTTCTTTCTCTATACGAGCTTCATGGGAGACATCTTGCATTCATAGTTTCAACAATTATAAACCCAAAACATTATTCTTTGTCCCTGGTAGCTCTCACTCCCCATGTCTAATCCAACATTAAGTCCGGTTGATTTTATCTCCTAAATATCTCTCAAATTCTCCCCCATTTCTATTTTCACTGCAACCACATAATCTGTTAAACTAAACTAAATTTGGCCTAAGGATACCTTCATACTCCAGTCCATAATGAACTGTAGCCTACCTTAGTACGTGAACTAACTAAAAGCCCAATTTCGGCTTAGACTTTTGTAACAAACAGTTGAGTCTCAGTGACAGCAGCTGAGTTCAGTCAATCTCAGGTGGCCAACTGATTCAAATAAAGCAAAGCACTTAGTTGGAGCCAATTAAGCTGTCTTTGTACCTCACTTCCTTTTCTTTTTATAAATGCTGCCTGACTATTTTGCAAGCCAGAGTTCTTGGAACCTGTTCTGGTTCTTAGGGCTGCCCGATTCACAAATGATTCTTTGCTCAATTAGACACTGTTAAATGTAAATTGTCTAGGGTTTTTCCATTTAACAAATCCAAGGCTGGAAACTATCATTTCCAGCCTGGACTATTGCAATAGCTTCCTAACTGCTCTGATTTTGGCCACTACTGTTTTCCAAGCCATTGTCTACATTTCAGCCACAGTGATTTTTTTATAATATAAAACTAATTAAAATACTTCTTCTTGTCTCAACCTGCTTTAAATAATTCAATGGTATTCTGTTGCTCTTAGTGTAAGATCCAAATCCTGAGCATGATCTGGAAGGCCTTGCATGGTGTGGCTTCTGTCCTCCAGCCTGACCTTCTGTCCACTGCTCTTGCCCTGTGGCCACCACTGGCCCCCAGTGCACTATGTTCCTTCCAGAGGCAGACCTTGGCATATGCTATTCCCTCTACCTAGAAACCCTCTCCTCCTTCAACTCTTATTCATCTTTCAGAGCTCAGCTTAAGTTACTTCCTCAAGGATGGCTTCCCTTGAACTTCCAGACTAAGCTATATTCCCCCATTAGATGGCCTCATAGCACCACGTAGCTCTTCTTCACAGCACTTACGGTGGTTGTAATTGTTTCGTTTTTGTGTTTCCCACTAGATCATAAGCTCCAGGGACTATTTGTTTTGCCCACTCTTGTATTCCCAGTACCTAGCTCAAATATGTTTTGAGTGAATGAAACACAACTTTCAAATCCATACCTCAAATTAGTCCCTTCTTCTGACCTTCCAGCCCATGTTACCTATTTGTCTACTGGCAAATCCATCCATCCAATTGCTCAAGCCCAAACTGAGGAGTCACCCTTGACCCCTTCTCTCTTACCCTCAGTACCTAAGCCTCCAGCAAATCCTATCAGATCTGTCTTCAAAATACATCCAATATCTCAGCCAGACAGCATGTGCCTCCTAATGGAAGAACATATCCCAACCTAGGAGGTTGTCTTGTTCCTTCCTAGACTGTGAACAACCTAATTTCTTTAAAACTAAATTGCATCTCTGCATATCATAGTGGGGCATTAAAAAAACCTAAATTGCAAAGGGAAAAAATAGAGATAGAGGAAAACCAATAGATTAAAAGACAGATCTATCAACTAATTATAGTGTGGAACCTTAGTTGGATTCTGATTCAAATTGTAAAAAAAAATTACAAGTATGAGACAATCAGAAATTTTAAATGGAATTTGATGATATTAAGGAACTGTTAATTATAAGAAGTGATAATAGTATGGTTTTTAAAAGTGCTTAATTTTTAGAGATGCATACTGACTTACTATATACAGATGACATAGTATGATGTCTAGTATCTGCTTCAAAATAACACAGTAGAGAGTGGAAGTAGGTGAAGGTATAGATAAAATGAGATTGGCCATGACATATTGATTATTGAAGTTGAATGATGGGTACACTAGGGTTCGCCTGACTATTCTATTTTTGCACGTTTGAAAAATTTCCATGTTAAAAGATTAAAAAATACATATCCAGAGTGTGACTCATACTTAATATTTCCACTACTACCACCCTCTTCCAAGCCACTGTCATTTTCCACCTGTATTGCCACAGCCTCCCATCTGATCTCCCTGCCTCCACCCCTACCCTGCCCTGTGGTCTATTTACTACACTGCAATGAGAGTGATCCTTTAGGCCTGGCGCAGTGGCTCATACCTATAATCCCAGCAGTGTGGGGGGCTCCTCTGAGCCCAGGAGTTGGAGACCAGCCTGAGCAATAGCAAGACTCTGTCTCTACAAGGAAAAAAAAAAGAGTGATCTTTTTAAATAGATCAGATCCTTTCACTCTCTGCTTAAGCCCTCCAAATGCTTCCCATTTTGCCTGGGCCTTATGATATCTCTCTCTGACCTCATCTCCTACTACTCAGCCCCTCATTTGCTCCCCCACTGCCCTTGTGCTAGGAGGATAGAAGGTCCAAACTCTCTGGCAAGGCCCACAGGCCCTGATGTCGTGTCTTCTGTGTGTCTCTCCAGGTTCACCGTATCCAACCCCAGGCTTTTGGGACAACCCACATTCACCTGTGGCTCCTTTGCTTCAGTCACTCCTACCTGGGCCTGACTTCTCTGGCGAAGCCCCGGCTCAGTACCACTTCTCCCTGCTCTGGTTCTAGGCCCCTAGGTGCACAGGGCTTTGTTTTGTAACCATTTATGGCCTCATCAATCTTCTTTACTAGACTGGAGTTCCTTGACGGCAGAGCCTACCTCTTATATCTCTGTAGACCTAGCCTTGATAAAATGTCCAATAGTCAAAATTAAGCATATTTTGAATAAATGAATTAAAATTTTACATACTAGCATTATTACATCTTTTAAATGTCTGTATACCAATATGTCTTGTACCTGGAATAAGATACTTATCACTATAATTACATAGAAGTCATATAGTTTTAAATTATTGAGAAAAAAGTGATTTCCCACAAAAATGTTTTAAATAGAATGTCTTAGATGTCACTACTGAGATCGTGATAAAAATATAACTACACTTCTGTTATAACTAGGTCTTCCATTAGTTGTCTAAACTTGGAGAGCATAGTTAGAAATTGCACACCAAGCCAACTTGCTCTGTCAGCCCGGGCTTCGCCAGAGGGGTCAGGCCCAGGTAGGAGTGACTAAAGCAAAGGAGCCACCATGTGGGTTGTCCCAAAAGCCTGAGGTTTGATATGGTGGACCTGGAGAGACAGGCAGAGGACACGACATCAGGGGGCCTTGCCAGAGACTTTGGACTTCTATCCTGCTAGCACAAGGGCAGGGGGCAAGCAAATGAGGAGCTGAGTGGGAGGAGATGAGGTCAGCTTGCTCACTGATCATTTGAAGAACTGGGGTCAGGAGGTGCAAACGAGAGAGGGACCAAAGGAGCTTCTTTCTCCAGAAGGGAAGTTAATAGATGGCTAGGATTTGGGGAAGGTGAGGGTATCTGAGATACAAAGAAACTAAAGTGGAAGAATTGTTGCTTCTGCAAAGAGAAACTGATGGGGAAAACGGGAGTGGAACCAAATCCATCAGTAGGGGATTGCTTTCCTATCGCAGAGCAATAGGAATGAAAAGACCTGAAGTCATTTTTAAAATGTATGTACAAACAGGATTGCCTTGCAGGATTTGTTATTATGCTTTTAATACAGTTACTTTTTCAATTGTTACAAATTTTTCAATATTAAATATTGTTTTGCCAGGTAATGAAGTTAATTTTAGCAGATACGTTATCAAATTTTTTGGATTGCCCTTCAAACACAAAGTTGATGCTCCTGCCAGCCATTGGTAGGCCTGGCAATTCTAGTTATTTCCCGTCTTGGTGATGGATTGTGCTGCCTGAGCCACTGGCATGCCTTCTCGAATTAGGGCTGGGACCAACTAATTGCATGCATTTGCAAAATGCTTAGCTAAGGTTAGGAGTATAGTCTGTGATGATGGCACAGATTTTTTTTTTTTTTTACATCTAAAAAAAATTACTAGCATATAATAGTATCACAATTTTACTCTGCATTCTTAAAAAATGTGCATAAACTCTTAAAAAGTGATTTTATAGGGCAATATCCTGAGATAGAAGGAAATCTGAAGTCAGAGAAGCTGAGCCTAATATAGCCTCTGTTAAACTCGCTCCATGGCAGTCACTGTGACCACTACCTTCCTAAAGCTGCATCATTACTTTATCAATGGTATCCTGAAACAGAGGGTCTCACTCTGTTTTCTGGGCTGGAGTGCAGTGGGTCATCATAGCTCACTGCAACCTCAAACTCCTGGACTCAAGTGATCCTCCTGCCTCTGCCTCCCAAGTAGGTGGGACTACAGGCACACACCATGATACCCAGCTAATATGTATACACACACACACACACACACACACACACACACACAGCTTTGGTAGAGATAGGGTTAGGGTCTCGCTCTTGCTCAGGCTAGTCCTGAACTCTTGGCCTCAAGCAATACTCCCGCCTTGGCCACCCAAAGTGCTGAGATTATAGATGTGAGCCATTGGGCCTGGCCTGTCTTTTTTACTTATACTCCACTCAGTTTATATTAAGCATTTTTCTCTAAGATGTTGAGAAGGAACAAAAACATTTGTTCTGGAGTTTTGGAGTTTTGGGTTTTGGAGTCAGGCAGACCTGGGTTGGAATCCTGCTTCTGTCTGGCTGTGGGATCTTCTCAAAGTCACTATAAAATGTGGATAATGAGGTACTTCTGGTGTGGGTGTTAATAAACTAGTCTATGTGAAGATGTTGCCACATGCCTGATACTCAATAAATATAATTTGTTTCTCGTGGATAAGTAGAGCAGAATACTTCCAGAATACTTCCAGGAGAGCATCTCATTCTCTGATTTATCGTGATAAGATAAGGCCTATCCAGAACACTCAATTATCAGAAGACTTTAATCTCTCTTACTTTGTTTCTTTAATGTCAACATCCATTTGAGCCCTAAGCATGTAAGCAGGTACCACGGAATATAAACAAGGAAACAAATATATTGAGTGACTAATGCGTGAAATAAAGCCGTGACCCACACAGATGAAATAGCTGCACAAAAGAAATGACATTAAAACATTTAAAAAGAGACTTAATGTAGGAATAAGCTATTTTAATCAAGCAAAACCAAATTTATATTCATTATTTCTAAAAATAAAATTAGACTTTTCCAATCCTTAACATCTGCATTTAATAATATCTTCTAACCAAAATACAGATGTTAAAACAGCAAATTACAATATATCTTGTACAGCATACAGTATGTTCACTGTTTACACTTACTTTTAATTCTAGTTGGTCATTATGTACTCAATGCATAAACATCACTCATAATAAAATTTTCACAATTAACAAAAAATGTGACAAGGCTGTCTTAAAACGGCTCTGCTATAAATTGTATAGAATATACAGAATTACAAAGTCAAGTATTTTTTTTATCAAAATATACACCCCTCCCTGAAACTAACACAAGCTATCAACATTTTAAATGAATACAATTATAGAAAATATTTGCAAAATTATTTTTTCATGTATAAATATTCTGCCATATTTACTTTGGTCTAGAATTCTCAGCATACAAGTCCACTTAAAAAATATCCACATGTAAGGGCTGGGAGACATCACTACACATAATAATTTTACATTTGGAGTTAAGTCAAATCAAAATGACTAGAATACACAGTAATTCTTCTTGACTCATAATCCTAACAGATAAAACAAATTAGATCACAGGATTGCTTATTCAATATTCTAATTATCAATTCAAAAATGATTTTCATAAGCCCTTTGTGACTATCTCTTTAACAAAACCCAAATGGATAGTGTAGGTGTACATATATACAATGTATAAAATAAAGTTGAATTTGCTTGCATTTTGCCATTTTCCTCGACTATATAATAATACTGTATGTAAGTGAAAGTAGATGAACAAAAGATAAATGCAGATACAATATTGGGGTTACTTTAATAGCAAAGTACTATAGTATCAAAAGGTCAACTTTAATCATGTCCTTTCCTGGGCATTTCAATGCTCTCTTGCCCACCCAAATCCATACTAAGTCTTCTTCCTGGAGACGTCACGACACTTGTAGAGAGAAGCTGGAGTCCTCCGAGCTACTTCTTCGTGATGATAACCTTCCAACCTTGGAAATCTTGGGTTTCCGTCTATCGAATCCAGAGAATATGAACGGCTGGCTGCAGGTCACTCAAACTGGGCTCTGGATTCAGTGCATACAGGTTGGTGATCAAAGGGTAGGAATGTTTTCTCTCTCCCTCCTATTTTGGTAGTTTCAAAAGAAGAAATCATGAGTTCCAGCTTTTCAGGAACCTAGTCCACATGACGGAATATCCTGTAGGGCAATTAGCTTTGAGGGCGACATTGATGGTGTGGGTCAGTGTGAAAAGAACGTTAGAAAACTTAAGTGGGTTTTAAGCAAGGGGTCTAGATGGCTGCAAATATGAAGACAAAGCTTCTGGCTTTGTGGCTGTACTTCTGAGTCACATAGGGATAGAACCTTGTCACTCCACATCCTACATCCCCACCCCCCCAAAAAGAAAACTACTGTTTTAAGCAAGGAAGGTCATCACTTCTTCTTGCCCACTCAAGTCATTAATAGGTGGGGTTGGGGGTGGGGTTCTGTTGTCCTTTTGTTTTATACTACTATGCACTTGTGGGCTGCGTAATCTCCAAGGTGGCTAGTAACTGTAGGGATTAGGCTTCTTGTCACTTTCGAGTGCCTGGGAATTCACTACCACATGTGTGCCTTGAGCTAAATCTCCTGGACAATCCTTCAGTGGAATGGAAGATGTCAAGTTTACTCGAACCCTTAAGTCTGTCTGGAACAGAGCCCGCATCCATGGCCTTGTGATGGCTGGAAGACTGCAGAGAGTTTCAGAAGAATTTGACCCTCTTTCATTCTCTGAGATGAGACCATTGCAAGGTAATATGCAGCACAGGTAACCACAGGTAAATTCTGGGAGGGCTTTCCCCCATAGATAAGGCATGACCTATGTTTTCTGTGACTTGCAAGACCAGTTCTAATAACAGCTCAGCCATAACTTCAAGAGAATAGCATTCCATCTCAAAGCATTCACATGCTCTTAAATCATACTCAAAATGGTTTCTATGGGTTTTTACATCAGTCCTCATTATTTGCAGATCTATTGCTCACCGTAATTCTCTAGAGGGGATATGGACATTTAAACGTTATAGTGATTTATATATGTATTTTACAAGGTTGTGTTGCAGAAAAGTAGTTCTAGATTATGTACGAATGTCTTACTTTAGGTTACTCATTACACACATATTTGCAGTTATATTGTTAAGTATTTCATATGTATCTTTTAATTTAAACAGATTTTAATAGCGCAGAAGCCGGATGGGAATAAAGACTGTCACAGCTCATTTACCATTGAACATATTTATGAAGATGCCATCTTCAGGATATCTGACTCCTATTTTCTCCAGTGACTAAAGACAGTTCAGCAGCCAGTTCCTATTAGCATTTACTAGGAAGTTTTAAATTAGGCTAAAATTAAACTTTTTTTCACTGGTAGAAATACCACAGCTAAGAACTTCATTAACTTTCAGAAGATAACTTGGGATATTGGAGGATTCAGCTATTCTGTTTTTATGCACTTTGCATGAAGTTAATGCTAAAACCCAAAGTAGATACTAGGATCCTTTCTCTGTAATTTTCACACATGAATTTTTTATTTTTTTAACATTTCACTCCTTCATGACTGTCATGTGAACAAAACTAAACTAAACTTAAAAAAAAACTAACTAAAAAACAGCAACTTATATTTTTGAAGATTTTTCTAACTATTGCCACTCAAAGGACATTTTCAACAATGGTTGGAACGTAATCCTTTTGGTCATTGTCTTCTGAATCAATGAAATGTTGATTCTCCAAAGGATTTGAGTTTTCATAGCATGTGTTACCTATTTTCTCCTGCTGGCTTGGGCTTTTGAATAAGTGTTTCTTTTGGTGCATTCCAAGGGCAGCAGCTGTTTTGCAAATTTTGGGGCACTGGAAGCAGGCATAGCCCTTCCCGTTGTGCTCCCGAATGTGCCTCTGCTCATGATTCCTTTTTGTGGAGAGATACAAAAAACTCTGAAAGCAGAACTGACAGTGGTACCGCTTTTCCCCAGTATGGATTCTTTCGTGGATTTTGAGGGTCTCGTTCAAGGTGAATGCCTTGTTGCAATACTGACAGATGAACTCCTTCAAGCCCAGGTGGATGCGTTCATGTTTCTGTAAGTTTCCTTGCACTGAAAAACACCGCCCACAGGTCTTGCACTGGTATGGCTTCTCTCCGGTATGACATCTCATGTGCATTTTCAGCGTGGAAGGGCTCTGGAACTGCTTGGCGCAGAGCTCGCAGGCGTAAGGCCTGGAAGTGAGATGCCGGTGGGGCCTGCCTTGGTTTCCAGCCCCGGATGCCTTGTCTCCGTCGCAGAGTTCACACTGCAGCTTGGGCATCTCTTTGTTTTCCTCCTCCTCAAAGGCCTTATCCTGAGGGGCCTTGCCCACAGCACAGTCCAGCTCCGCTGGGTATTTACACTTGCTGCTTGGGCTCCTGCTTCCGTGCTCTTTCCTCCAGTTGACTTTCCGCATTTTTCTCAACTGTCTGGATTTCTTTTTGGGTTTGTAGTTGTAGTAAGGGCGCCACGGTTTATCAGTGGAGTCCTGGTCGCTTGCGTCATCAAACACTTCGCTCATCTCCACGCACTCGGACTGGCAAAGGTCGAGTGGGCTGTCTCCGCTGGGTTCCGGGTCACTCTTCTGTGGCAACGGCTCCTCCTGCATTTGATACTTGGGTCTTCTCCCTCTTTTATAAAACAATTTAGATCCTAGGATATGCCTTTTCACAATGGCTTCATTCCCAATTTTCACCGTTATTTGGCAAAGGGGTGCAACGTTGCTATTTGTGGAGGTTCCAGGCAGAGCCGGTTTCGCGATGTAGGTTTCAATTTTACTGGTTTCTTCAACGATATTTGTGGCTTTGCTCAATGACCCTCCAGGATCAGCAACGTATTTTGACTCCTCTGGTATTTCTCCCCTGTTACAGGGTACAGTTTTCTTTTTCTCCTTAATGCTTTTGGGTCTGCTTGCGAATCTACCCACTTTATCTGGCTCGGGTTTACTGTCGTCTTTCAGGGACTGACTGGCAGCTGGGTCTGGAAGGGCTCTGTGGTTGCTGCTGGTCATGGCAGCAACGGCATTGCTGTGCATTATCACCGATGAGAACTGGCTGCTATGCACGATGACCGAGGGTGCTGAGCCACTGTAGCTGATCACAGAGGCTGGGTTCTCACTGCCGTTATTCAAGGACAAAACAGGTGCGTCCCCTGCCTGGAGGCCAGAACTGACAGCATTTTCAGTGGAAGAAACTGATACCTCAGTAGAATAAAAGTTACCATCAAGATCAATTTTCAATGTCTCCTCTCCCCATTTGGTGCCCTGTGCATTTTGTACACTGGCAGAAGTGGGTATGTCCTGACAAGCAGATGTTTCCAATGGGATGGCTGGGCTGTTGGTTAAGGTGTTTACATTATCTTGGAAATTCAGTGTAGATAATTCAGAGCTATGTGGATTCTGAACAATATAGGTACCAGGTGCAGACTCATTCATTTGACTGCTTTCTCGAGCATTTTCATAGGAAGAATTTCGGTAGCTCTTATAAGGAGCTCTCTTGCATTTCATGGGCAGTAGCCTATAAAGTTTATATGGATAGACACTAGGCTTCAAGCCTCCATTTGCTGTTTTTTTACTGATGGAAAGTCTGTGATCTATGGCATGGAAAGACTTTTGATGGTTTTTGAGTATATAGTAGGTCATGAAAGTTTCAAGACAGAAAATGCACTGATATCTCCTTTCTCCCGTATGCCAAATTTCATGCCTTGTCCTGTACTCAGCCAGTGCAAACACTTTGTTGCAGTAATGGCAAGGATATGTTCTTCTCCACGAGTGAACATTTGCATGTCTTCGGAGGCTGGATAGAGTCACGTAACTACGTTTGCACACAACACAACTGTAGAGCATCTGCCCATTAACAAATTTAACCATGTGGTCTGTGTCTGGCAAGGTACTTCCGGTACTGGAAAATTCACCAATCCTATTTTCAGATAATAAAGCTTCTGGACCTGTGAATGAACCACCATTTTGTCCAATGGTAGGATAGTTTTCTAAAAAGCGTTGGTTTCCTCCAGGAATGGGCATGTGGCTTGACCTCATACAGATCTGCTCATGCCGATCCAAACGGTTCAGGGTGGTGAACTGTTTGTTGCAGTACTTGCACACTAAAGGCTCCTGGGTCGGCTTGTGAAGCTGCATGTGGGCGCTGAGCAGGGTGCTACTGTCGAAGGATTTGGAACAACAGCTACAGTTGTAAACGAGAGGTGGAACCTCTGCTGCTGGCGGCCCGGGAACCTCAGAAGGTGGATTTTCATCCTCCTTGGAAGAGTGGACATCTCCTTCAGTGTTGGGAGATTTTGAATGAGAAAGAACTGCAGCTGGCTGTGGACTTTTTTCTTGATTCACCTCTACGCTGGTTACTGGAGGGAGTGGTGTATTTTCTGCAGTTGAATCAGAATCCTGGGGGATGGAGGATGTCTTTGGCTTTCGGCATGTTTTCGGTTTTGCTGCAAGAGCTTCACAATTTTCTTTGCCTGTCTGACCAGGTGAACTGCTATCGTGTTCACGTGCAGGCTGACTTTTATAAGCCTCGGCTGCGGAAGAAACGGCGTACGAGTGCTCAGCGAGTGTGCGGACAGGCTCGGCCTCGTGGCAGGCCTCCGTCCTGTCTAGACAAAGGCTAGCTGTTCTCATGGAGTCAGAGACCTTTTTGAAACTAGCCCTCAAGTCCAGTGGAGAAAACATGTTATTACTATTTTCTGTTTCAATGATGGAAAATGCATTTGTGATCCTTGGCCCGTTAGTGATGGCTGGTTCTTCGTGCCTTTTTTCATTTTTTTCGTCTTTAACGACTCCCTTTTCAGTAATGCAGAATACATAGGGACCTGGGGAATTTGAGAAGTTGCGATCGGTAAGATCTTCCAAGAACGATATCCCCAGTTTTTTTCCGGCAGCTGCAAGATCAGTGACTGTTTCCTGTCTCTTGACAACGACTGTGGAGCTGTAGATATAATTAAGTATTTCTGTAAACACTTCAGCTTTGAGATCATCCAGCTCCAGGACGTGGCTGGAAATACAGATTGTATGGCTCCAAAAAATATTTTTAAAATAAAGGCTCGAAGCTGCCAGGACATTGCTGTGGGCTTTAAATTTGGTATCTTCTACAATGATGGTGACATCACATAAAATGCCCCGAATACGCTGCTCATTTAAGATGGAGAGCACTGTGTCACTGTGAAAGTCGTCCTTGAGGTCCCTGGAAAGGGACATGACTGTCATCTGAAATGAGAGGAGAGAAATGGTCACAGACCCTTCCACAAGTGGTTTCTTTATTTCTAGACTATTTTCAACTTCTGTGAACAACTTTTTCTATGAAAATTCAGGTTTTTATCTCATTCTGTTGATGCTCCCAAGACTTGGAGTCAACATTGGAAGCTAAGTCTTTTTCTTGCCCCAGCCTGTTTCTCATACCATTGCTGATAGCTGTTATAGTTGGAAAGCCTCCCAGAACACCTTCCCCTTTTCTCCAAAGTTGCAGCTATATATACATATCCAAATTTGGGAGGGGAGGATTTTTTGGTTTTGTTATTCTATTTTTTTTCTTTTTTTATTTTATAATTCAAATTTATTTTTCTTTAAATTTATATTTAATTAACTTGAGGTTTTGTTATTCTAAATGTTAAGGGTCTCATCACCACGGAAGGTTGCTGCTGTCAACCCCTAGAGCTGGGCAGTTCCATGGTCCTGCACAAGCTTCCTATCTATTTTCAGAAATAACCCTGATGATCTGATCCAAACATAATCCACGTGGCAAGAAAATTAGTTTCTAAAAAGGAGTTTTCTCGAAGTAAGTGGCACCTATATGCAAAGATACTACCTTTCCAGAGAAGCAGCAGGAATGCAAGGAGCCATCCGAACTTGTGGCTCTGAAGGGTCTCTCAATGGAGAGTTGCAGCCTGCGTGACCGAGTCTGACCACCAGGGGCGCCCGACCTCCCTGCACTACTGGCCCTTGTCGGGGCCCATCCCATTCCTTTTCTAATTTTCCTGTTTTTATAGACAAAGTAGACCAGGATTTTCAAAAAGAACACTGTCAGGTACTGAAAGCAAACAAAAAGGCGACACAACACAAAGCCAGGAAAGGACATTTCTAAGTCTACAATAATGAATCTAGTCACAGGTTCCTAAATTCACAATTTAAAGGCACAGTGGCTCTTGTTCTGGTCTGAGGATCCCATCTCTGCTCTTCCCTGTACATGCTATTCTGAATATGTGCCCTATACATATAGGGTTCTTGTTATTCTCTATATACGTCCTATGCCAGGAGCCTGGGACGGCCAGAGCCTACCAACTATAGTCTAATGGAGGACAGTCAAACACAGCAGCTTTCAAATTCACCCACCGTAAGAAATACACGGCACATGGTGACCTAAGACGCAAATGAAATTAACTCTTATCCTTACTTGGTGTGATGCATTCTGTTCTAGTTATCTTTCATTTTTAGGAATGTTAATAGCAACTCACTAGTTTCACTACTCACTAACAGATCATCCCTGCGATTAAAAATAAAACAAAAAAATCCTCTGGTCTAAGGGACGTACTAAGCAGCGATTCCAGCAGTCCCTCTGTGCTGTCCCATATCAAGTGACTTCTCCAGAAAGCCATACCGCTTGATGTTTCTTTAACTCTCTGTGGCAGTGTTTTCCTAGCGCTGGAGTATAGCATTTAGCTCATGGCATTTATTCAGTTGGAAAGACCAGATGGCCACACAAAGGACGTCTCTTTACCTTTTTGTAAAACTGCTATTATAAGCTGTGCCCATTGTGTTATTTAGCATGCTTTACAAAAGGATCCGTTTGATAAATTCGTTTCTCACATTCAGCCATAGGGGAAAAAAAACTACCTTTCTACTAACAAATTCTTCAATCCAGATAATGAGAACACTACATTCACCATGTTTCTGTTTTAGCTCCCAAGACACTGAAGCTCAGAACTAACTTTTATTATCGGTTGTTGTAGCCATTCTTAGCCTGGGTTTCTGGTGTGACTATCGTCTTACTTTATTTAATGTTAGTTCTTCTACTCTTGTTTACTCTGCTTTAATCGTCATCTTTTACAAATCCTTTCTAGAAGTGTGTGGGATTATTTCTATAAGTAAAAACAGAATTAAATGCAATGGAATCTTTATGGCTTCCCTGTGCCTCTGAAAAGAGAATGGGTCGCTCCTGAGAGAAGGAGTCTGTCCTTCTCTGGGTTACAGATCAGTAACATATTTTGCTGACGTTTCCTTTGTCATCCTTGAGGTCTCTCTGCTCTGAGCCTCTGAAAGATCTAGTTCCTCTCCTGACTCATATTCTTTATCCTGTTCAGTTTCTCTGAAGCCTATATATTATTTCAACTCTTTATCCCGCCTGACTAGATAGTCTCAGATCTGATAAAACACACGCTATATGATTCAAAAAGGTGGCTTCTATCTTGGCTGAGGTCTATGCTGACATCATCTGTCTTGTCCTTCTAATTCAAAACCACTGCTTCTTCTAAAACGCTCCACTTCACAGCATTCTGAACCTCCCACTAGGCTCTGCTTCCACTTGGGAAATACGGTATTTCACGTCAGACTAAGGAACACACCGGGGTGTCCTGTCTCAGATTTATAATATATAAAAAGCCCCACCACTTCTGTGGAATTCTCTGATTCTTCTCTCAGATTGTTCAATTAGGATGGTTAGCAAAAGGCCACCTCTTAATACTGAATAATATTTTATCCATACTTATAGTTAGAATAACATATATAATAGGAAGTATCATTATATATACCATTGAAACATCCTCATAACTCTGGAAGATCCAAGTATGACATCTTTCAGAGGAACATCAACCTTCATGTGGCAGAAATCCTTTTAAAAATCATAGTTACTATGTAGCACCTCGATTTGCCTTCTTGACACACACACAAAAACTTCATTCTTACATGGATTTTATCCAGCAAGTAAGTTAATACCTATCATGGTCAGACATGGTGCTTGGGTGCTGAGATATGGAGGGGAGCAAGGCAAGTCCCTGTTCTCAAGAACTCAGAGTCTAGGGGAAGAAAGAGAACTGTCAACTAATCACTAGCATCCAGGATGGCAGGACTTATGCCAGAGGTAAGTACAAAGTGTTAGATTAAGTGACGATTGATTATTTAAGGCGGCCCTGGATGGCTTGGCATCAATATATAAAACAGGCGTATGGGAAGGATGTTCTAAGCAGAAGAAACACTATGGGCAAAAAAAACCCCCCAAAAAACCCAAACAATCAAAGGGTGTACTGTCCTCAGAAACCGATGGGCAGGAATAGCGTGCACTGCCCAGTCCCCAGCATCACGGCAGTGCCAGGCACAAGGCAGCCTCAGCGTGGATCTGTTGAATGAGATGGCCTATGAGAGGAAGGGTCAGACCAGATCATAAAGGGCTCTAAAGGGCTCCTCACAGCAAACTTTATACTGCAGGTAATAGAGAACCATTGAGAGTCATAATCAGATTTAAGTTAAAAAAAATCATATAGGCTTCAATGTGCTGAAAGGCTCAGAGGGAGGCAGGCTGGATGCAGGGTGCCCCATAAGAGGCCATCCTAGTGGTCCGGGTGAGAAGTAGCCCATCTGCCCCAGGCAGAGTGAGAGCCTGGGGAAAAACAGATGGCCCAAGCCAGCTAAAAAAGTGGGATGGGGGTGGTGGAGATGGTGGTGGTGGTATCTGAACTCAAAATTTAGATGAATTCCCTCAACAAATATTTATTGAACAACTACTGGCCAGAAGGCATCCGGTAAATGCTATAGGAGCCAAGAATTCATTCCTCTTTTGAACAAATAGGGAGAAGGTTAAGGGAGTTCAGACAGTGGCTCGGGAAGGGTGTGAGGGAGGCAGAGGGGAGAGGCTCAGAAACTCCCTGTAGGAGGAAGTGACATTTACTAGATCTTGATGGGCAGAATTTGGCTCTGTAGATACGGACAAAGGGAGAAAAGGGAATTTCAGGCAGAAAGAGCCAGAGTCAGAGTTTCCTGCCCTTACGAAATGTATGATCGAGTAGTCAATGCAACAGCTTCAAACAAAGAATATAAATCTGCCAGTGCAATTTGGAAAACAGTGAAATCTGTTAAAGAGGCAATTTAAAGTCTTTGAGACTCCAGTACCCACGTATCCAATCTTAACAGTGCCCTCTACCTAAACCACCAAGTTTTGTCATAAATGCCTTCAGAGTATAGTTATCCAGCCTGCTGGATGATCTCAGAACGTGTGATGGCTAAAAACCATTCCACGTGTCCAAGGTGCAACCAAGAAATGTGTTCCAATCTGTAGACCAGAGGGGACCCACTCACCCTAGGTCATGTGGCATATCTGGTCCCACAGGTTTCGTTTGACCTATATGGTTTTTGAAATCGGGTTTTTGAAAAACTTAGCTAACCATGTTGAAAAACTCTAAGATTTAACATAAAAATCAATATGCTTTATCCTGAAAAAATAGGAAGCCCAGGAAACGCTGGGGTTGTCGCCTACCTGGCAGGGACTGGCACCGAGTAGCTATGTCTCCAACGTGCACACACTTCCTGCCCCAGCATTCAGCACCGTGACACAGCTTGCCCGGCCCCCCCAGCAGGCTCAGTCTGTGCTACTGATAAGAATAGTAAGTAAAATAACATGGGACCCACAGGTCTTATCAGACAGACTTAAAGGATATCGCCAAGATGAAAATTAAGACTTATAAAAGAGCTCATGGGGGAGGAGGACAGTCATTCTCTCCAAAAAACAGTATTCTTTGACTTTAAAATGTAAAGTTACCTTAAAGCAACCTCTTCCACTACCTTTCTTCATAAAGAGTAACTGAAAACAGAAATCTGAGGAGCTTCTGCCAATAGAAAGCCCACAACAGATTTCAGAAAAAGAAATATAAGTTAGAAAGAAGATGAAGGCTAATTTGCATGTAACTTGCTAAAATATTTTCTAGAAAGCAAGTTTTGTGCAATGAATTCACTATTCTTAGTAGTAGTATCGAGATGGACTAGATAAGCATGAAAAACTAACAAAAATGTTCTAAGTGTAAAAATTTTTGTCAGCCAGTATTTAAAAAAAAACCTAATTTGTAATTAGATAACTGTGGTCACCTGACTTATGTTACTATTTTCCTGAGTTTGTATTTTAGCTGGAATAGCTTTTAAAATGTATTTTAAAATACATGATGCACATGTATATAGCCGCATGTATATACAAACACATGTATGAATATATAAATATATGATCACGT